GAGAAAGAGAAAACTTGTGTTCCAATCTCTAAAACTTCAATTTCTACTTACACAAGCTCCAAATTTCACTTTAATGACTCTTTCCTTTTCTCTCTCTTAGATCCTTCTCCTTCATCTTCCAAAGAAAATCAAATGAAACTTAATAAAATACATAAAATCTCGTAAATATGCATGAAATACATGATAGAAACTTTTTTCTAAGATAATTTCTGGATACCTTCAACTTAGACATCCATAGTTACTATTTACCTTCTCTTTCAAAGCTTTATAAATCAATGATTATAATCACAATTTCAATTGTAACCCTTGGGAATTGCTTTGGAGATGCTAAACTTTGATTTTTTTTGATGGCCTTTAATAAAATATTTATGCAAAGAAAGAAGAAAATGGAGGAGGAGAATGATCAGGAGTGGCTGGCAAAGGTTGCTAGGAGAGGAAGGAGATGATGCCATGTGATAGAAAATTAGAAAATTAAATGTGCATTGTTTAATCTAATGGCTATAATCAATTTCATTTAAGTCTTTTCTTATGCATGCTTTTGACCACTAAACTCTTCAACCCATTTCAATTAGACCTTAAGTTAACTTTCATAAGTTACAATATTCCCCATCTCTACATTCAACATTACAATAATACCCTTCTCATGCATTATTAACCTTTTTCAAGAATTCCATCTAAGTCTACACCCTGGTTTTAAATTCAGATTTTATACTATCTAAATCAACTATTTTTAATTGAAATTAATTTTCCACATATATTATAATTAATACTATTTACGAGTCTGAAAAATACTGATCACCTCTCAGTGACACTATCCACTACTCGAAAAATGTTACTATTCATGACTCGAGATTTTAGGATGTTACAACTCTTTCCCTCTTAAGAAATTTATTCCTTGAAATTTACCTAAATCAAATAACGGGGATGTTGCTGTCTTATAACCTTCTTGCTTTTTTTCCCAAGTAGCTTTTTGTATCTTGTGATCCTTCCATAGGACTTTAATTGGAGGGATCTTCTTGTTCCTCAACTCTTTAATTTTCTGAGCCAAGATCTTCATTTGTTCCTTGTCATAAGTCAAACAAGGCTGAATATTGATGGTCTCGAATGAAATGATATGAGATGGATCTAATCTTTATTTGCTCTACATGGACACATAAAGACATTATGTATCTTATCCAATTATGTGGTCAAGCTAGCCTATAGGCAATCGGATCCACGCGCTCAATGATGTCATATGGATCGATAAACCTAGGGCTAAGCTTACCTTTTTTGCTAAACCTTAATACTTTATTCCATGGAGAAACTTTAAGGAACACTTTACCTCCCACTACATATTTTATATCCCTCCTATTTAAGTCCGCAAATTATTTCTATCTATTGAAAGTGGCTTTCAATCTTTCCTTGATGATCTTTTACTTTCTCTTTTAAATGCCTTACCAAGTTCAAACCTATTAATTTGTCTTCACTGAACGCTATCCAACATAGTGATGTTCGACATCTTCTCCTATATGAAACCTCAGATGGTGTCATCTTGCTCGACTGGTAAGTATTATTATATGCAAACTCTATGAGATAAATATAACTCTCCCAACTCCCTTCAATCTCTATAACACAACTTCTGAGCATATCTTTAAGTAACTGAATTACTTTATTCGATTAACCATCTATTTGAGGATGGTAAATCGTGCTAAAATTCAACATAGTATCCAAACCCTTATGTAGCTTCTCCCGTAATCCATATGTGAACCTTAGATCTTTGTCAGATATGATGGAGATATGCACACCATGCAATCTCACTATCTCATCAATATACAACTATGCATACCTCTCAAGAGTAGAATTAGTCCTCACAGGTAGAAAATGAACTGATTTAGTTAATCTATCCACAATCACCCATATGCATCATTCTCCTTCAGGGTGAAAGGCAATCCAATAATGAAGTCCAGAGTGATTATATCCCATTTCCATTCAAGAATAGAAATAGGATGTAGAAGACCTGATGGAACTTGATGCTCGGCTTTCACTTATTGGCAAGTCAAACATTTTGCAACAAAGTTAACTACACTCCTTTGAATAGTCGACAACCAATATTGCATCTTCAAATCTTGATACATCTTAATGCTTTTCGGATGCATGACATAATAACTGTTGTGTGCTTCTTCAAGTATTTTCTTCCTCAACTTCAAAACCTTAGGCATATATATCAAATCCTCAAAAAATAAGCAACCATTATCTTTGATTACAAATATTTTCTCCTTTCCGTCTTTTATTAATTTCTTTCACAAAGTTATTTCCTCATCTTTCTCTTGTGCCTCTTGGCCTTGTTAAAGAAAATTAGGCCCAAAAATTAACTAAGCTATGACAGCTCCATCAACCGATAAGGTCAAATGTTCAATGCCCTTAAGGTTGCTAAGGAATTCTTATAGAGTGCATCTGCTACCATGTTGGCCTTGCCTAGATGATAGTAAATAATGAAATCATAATCCTTTAAAAACTCTACCCATCTCCCATGCCTCAAATATAGCTCTTTTTATGTAGATAAGTACTTAGACTCTTGTGAGAAATGTATATGTAACCCTTTTCATCGTACAAGGCCAATATCATCCTTTTTTACATCGTTCCTTTTTTTCTTATATGATTTTATAGGTACTTTGTTGTAGATATTAATACCCCCCTTGATAGTGCCACATAGAGCTATCCGTGTGAGAAAACATCATGTTGTAAATATATACCCAAACTTAATATTGCTTGTCCCTAAGCTTTGTTTATGAAGCAAAGACGGATTGAAAATTGCTTTCTCTTGAAATGAATGGGTATCCTTTAGTTTCTATTGGAGAGAGAGATTTTCTAGGTAAGAATACTTGCTTCCTAGAGTGTTGTCCAACTGTTATTTCTACATGGATTATATTGGTCTCAAAATTTCTGCCCACCATTCTGGTTTCATTGCATAGGTCATTTGAAGCATCCAAATCGTTCAGTAGTATTTTTGGACAACTGATTTTCAATTCTAGCCTATGTAGAGACAATTCGCTTTGCAACAGGGTGCTCAAAATTTCTTTTGATAGTAGTTGCTTGCGTCATCTATTGCTCCATCGAAACTGTTGTAGATTTTACTTTGGTCTAGTAACATGTCTCTCATCTTTTACTTCAGGCTAGAGAACATATTCGTTCTTTGTTGTTAGGATTGCATGGTTAGTCATATACTAGACGGAGTTTAAATTCTCTTGAAACGTTGGGAATATTTATCAATTAATGGTCTTTTGCTGACTTCATTATTACCATGCTTCAGTACCATCTCTTTTTGTATTGTTATGTTTTCCTCATGATTTGTCAATTGTTCTCTATCACCAATTCAAAGTAATAATTAAATACTATATGCAGACAAGATATAAAAATATATGAATATAGAATATAATCACTAATGGAGAACTCATATAATCATAATTTATGAAACACTCAATAAGTACAATAAACTCCAATACAAGACCTTAGATACAAAGACAAAATACCTAGAGGAAAACAAACAGGATAGAAAAATGGTTATACTAAAGTGCACGAAAATCCATTTATGAGTCACACACACATATAGATGAATCAACAAAACAAACAAACCAAATGCACCAAACTAATATTATAGTCTTTTGTGAATATATAGAAAAAATTGAAATCAATGTAACAAAGAGAGGGAATTGAAGAGAGCTACACTTAATTACCACAATAAGAAAATATAATTGCAAACTTGATAATCCCTGATTAGTACAAGCTTGATGTATTAAACAGAAGTTTTGATATAATAAACAAAATCAATTTAAATTTTCTTATAACAATTTAAATTTAATTAACTTAATTTTTCATAAATAATATAATATAATATCATAAATTGTCCACATTTACTAAAATATGAGAAATCAATATTACCCATTATAATAATTAATATATTAATTTTCGTTTTAGAAAATAATTTATAATTGAGTTTTTTTTTTTTTTCACTTTTTGCTAAAATCTATTATCATATAATTCAGTTTACGGTTGCTTATTTTAAGAAAAAAAATTCTTTCAATCTATTATATGATTTGATAATATAACGTATTATATTATTGAAACACCCTGAATTTTTATTTTCAAAACTTTTGAATTTTTTATTAAATCAAAAATCGCAAATTTTGGCCGCGTGGGCTGCAATTGTCGGTGCTTATTTTAAGAAAAAAAATTTCTTTCAGATCTATTATATGATATTGACTAATATAACTATTATATTATTGAAACACCCTGAAAATTTTTATTTTCAACTTTTTGAAATTTTTTATTAAATCAAAAATCGCAATTTTTGGCCGCGTGGGCTTGCAATTGTAACACAGTCCCAATTTCAAGCTAAATTTCCGAATTGGGCCTACAGCCAAATAGTTCGTTTCGGAAATTTTCAGGGTTTGAGCAAACAGTTAAAAATTTTCGAGTAATATATGAAGTCCAGCAATTAATACTAATTATGTAATGTATATAAATTTAATTTTCCAAAAAAAAAAAAAAAAATCAAATATGAATTACTAACTATATTTTTATTTTTATTAGTTAATGGAGGAAATGTTGTGAAACCTAATTAATAAGTTAAAAATAATTGAACCGGACCCGAACGCAAATCTGATTTTTCCCGCCCACACGAATAAATCCGAAAATCGAGGGTGAAAAACTCGAAAAACTCAAACGAAATGAGACCAAAATCACTGAATCGGACCGAACCGGTTCGAATCGAACCGGCCGCCCATTTTCCTTTCTTTTCTTTTTTCTTTCTTTTCTTTTCTTCCTTCCAGTAGCGTGACCACCTCCTCCTCCTCCTCGTCCCTCTTCTTCGATCTCCTTCCTCCGGCCACCAAATTCGGCAAATGAATACTCTAAAAACATCTACTCAACGCAAGGATGAAGATTATAGCGTAGATTTGAATTGAAATTGTGTCTATTTTGAAGGGTAAGAGTTTGAAGTTTTGGACACCCTTTTTCCGGCGATTCACGCCGTTTCAGGCAAGCCTAGGGCTCAAGGTGAGTACCAAATGACTCCTCTCTTCTTCTTCTTTCATTTGATGGCCTCCTCGTCGACTGTAATGGCCGGAATCGGAAAACCCAAAATGGGTATCACCGAACCTTTCCGATCCCAAAATGGGTATCACCGAACCTTTCCGATCAATTTCCGGCCAAATAGTTCGTACCCACCTTGATTTGAATACATATTAATGATCCTCTCATCGAAACAAATAAAATGATAGATTGTTTGTTAATTTTGGTGATGATTTGAATTTCCGACCACCGTGCATGGCGGTCGGCGGCGGCGGTCCGGTGACCGGACGGCGGCACTCCGGCGAGGCCCCGAGAGACAGAATCCTCTTCTCTTCGCGCTGATCATGGAATTGTCGCCCGATTCCCAATGGGTATGTTCTCCCGATTCTCAATTGGTACGTTCTAAGATCAGTTTCTTTATCTTCGGTATAAATTATAAACTTAATAAATATTAGTTAATTAAATTGAATTTGGGTAAATAATCAAACAAATATAATTTTGTTAAGAAGCAATTGTTATATCATCGATGTAAGCGAAGTTAGGAATTTGGATAAATATTGTTAGGAGAAGTTGTAAATTAAGACTTAGACAATGGATGATTTTGGATTGGAACTATTAAGAGTATACATATGTGAGTTTGATTAGAAATTTGGTTCTAGCAATGGTATGAAGAAAGAAAGACATGTATAGATTATAGATGATTTATGACATTGATTAGTTAATGTGTAATATATAATTGATTAGTTAATGTGTAATATATAATTTTGGTATCGAAAAACTCCGAATTTAGTTAATGATTATTGAATACATAAGCTATAGTTTTATATGATTGTTATGGGTCTATATTAGATAGTTTAACTAGTAACTTGTGGAGGTTAAGCAAATAGCTATTTTTCATTTATTTGCTTATTTATTCATTTACTTAATGTTATATAGTAAGTTAAAGTTTGATATTAACAATTAAATATTGATGTGAATGTGTTGGATGGAGGAAGGGAAATAGATTTGTTTAATTGCCCGATGGATGGGCTGTGTGTATCGATTGAATGATACTTAGTGTTGTTGGGATATTTAAACAGGTTGATAGTCCCATTTTTAAGGGAGGTGCTGCCGAAATTTCGGTAGAACTTTAGACTAATATTAATTGATAACATAACAAATAAGTTTATTTAGATAATTTTTACAATTCGACACATAATAAATAAAGTGCTTTAACTACCATATCATTATCATTGTCTATTATTATTATTATTATTATTATTATTATTAGTATTATTTTATCGTTGTTGTTATTGTTAAGATTATTTGTTTAATTATTTAATTGCATTTGATTTGTTTAATTATTTAAATTGCATTTGAGAAATGGATGTTTTTAATTGGTGCATTGCAATTGCAATGATCAAAGCTGATCCAATGTCTGCATCTAATTGAAAATGCTTGAATTATTGTGTTGTGTTTAATGCTGTGCCTTGTATTGCGTGGAAATTGGGAATGAAAGTGGGTACCATGGGTTTGTGAGACCTGTTTCTTCTGTTAATTGGGATGAAGTGAGTCACCATGGGTTTATGAGACTGTTCACTGTGATATGGATCCTGAACATGATGAAATTATGAAATTTGACTATTTGCCGAGTAAATGGAAGATCGGTGCCCCCGTGTGCACCTGATGATATGGACTGTATAGAAACCACAAGTTGGCCTCTTTATTGGGCGCACTTGATAATCTAGATTTGATCGCAACCCGCAGGGTGGCCTCCTGTTGTAAGCGCCTGAAGATCTAGATTTGATGGAGACGACCGGGTTGCCTCCTATTGGTATGGAAAAGAAAAGAGAGAATGGAAAAACAATGAGAGGACTGGTCATGAAAAAAAAAAAAAAAACAATGAGAGGGCTGGTCCAAAGTGAGGGATTAAGACCCGGCTCGGCCCAGTATAGGGATGCGGGGCTCCCTGGATGCACATGCTGAGAGGATGAGCCATGGTGGGAGGTCGGCTTATCGTGGTGTTCGGTGACTCCACTGAACTAATTTCCACGTGATGTGATTATTTTTGAAGGTGATATTGTTTGTGAGTGCCGGTGACATGCCATTTTGTGTGACTGGCTGCGTGAGCATATACTAGTCGGATGACTAGATTGATATATATATATATATTTATACATTTGTGTGAATGTATGTGTTGTGCAATAATGTTACTCCTTAGAAAGCTCACATATCTTGTTTAATTTTCCAGGACGAAAGTTTCTCTTTAATTCGACTAAGCTATGTTCCTTCGTCGCAGAGTTAGAAAGAAATTTTTACTAGACCAATAAATATTTTGCTATGTATCTAGATGTATAAAAATCTATGTATGTTAGTTAGTGACTCCGCAGTTGTAGAAACTGTATACAATTAGTCGTGTATTAACATAAACAATATAATTATATTGAGCCGGTAAAGTTTTAGTGTTTCAGGCTTACTACATATGGGGTCTGAATGTTTAATATTCTTATTGAGAAATGGTAAAGTTTTAGTGTTTCAGGGTTACTACGGGGCCTTGGGAGGCCTAAGCTTACCTGGGCCTAGTGCCGTGAGGTCCGGCCCCCACGGAAACGGGTCGTGACAAGTTTTTTGGTAATCAGAGCTTAGGTTTAGGGTTCTAGGACACAACTGCGGAGTATATGGAAAATTTCTTTAACGTTGGGATCGGCCAGGTAACCAACATAAAGAAGGAACTTTGATTTTTCCATCTCTGAGGGATGGGTGGACGCAACTAGACCCTATAAGGTGGAAAAATCGCACACCTATTGGTATAAATCAATAGACCTATAGAAGAGGTAATTCAAGGTTTGAAAGTGAAAGCACTGACAATAAGATAAAATTATCTCAGTACCTAAGTAGGGGCTGAATGGTATCAACCCTTAAGCTATTGGAAATAGGAGTAATTACCTGATGGTAGTGGATTGCCTGATCACCCCAGTGCACTCTTTTCATGTGAAACTCTAATCCTGTCAGGTTGAGTAAGATAAGTGTAGAGAATAATCAGTGAGTAAGATAGTGTAGAGAATAAATAGGATCTTCATTGGTATGGTAGATTCATGAACATAAATAATAACTTTGAGGTAAGTAGAAATCTGTGTCTAGATTTTAATACAGCTACTGAATCTCTTTAGAGCTTATTCAAAAATATAAACCTTTTTATTTTTTTGTCTTCATTTTATTTACCTGATATTTTAAATTTAAAACCCCATTTTTTTATTTATTTTAAATTCAAATTGTGTTATGATGAATAATTTGAAATTGATTATTTATATAGTAAATTATTTTTGAAAGCTGTCCATTTATATCACGGGGCCAATGGGATTAGATTATAAAATGAAATGATTAAAAGGATAGTAAAAATTTTGAAAGAAGATTGGAAAAAGAAGAATAAGACTGGTGGAGATAATAATAAGTAAGTAGACAGTTTAGTTTATTCAGTTTAGTAGTCAGTTGAGAACATTGAACGCTGAAATGTCGGGTACCTCTGATTTAGTAGTCAAGTTGAGAACATGAACGCTGGAAATGTCGGGTAGCCGATTTTGGTATAGAAGTTAAGTGGGGATTAGATTTGGAGTATGTGATTGTTTACTGTATAAGTGAGAAAGAGAACAATAGAAATGAACTTGAACAGTTTAAGGGTGAGACATAATAGGTAACAAATTGTAATACATATATTAGGAGTAAGTGGTAGATAAAGTTTGAGGAACTTATAAAAACCTTACTAGGCTTGAATGAGAGAAAGATTGATTGACTAAAGATAGATAAAATAGGTAAGTTGAACATGGAATTGACGTAAGGTAGTGATAAGTAGATGTGAATCTTGAGTTAATAATTCCACATGGAGAATTGAACTTTTGTTTAATTAAGGTTCTAATTAAAATGTTAGAATCGTGGGTTGTAAATTCTAATCTAGGCCATTAACAGGAAGTGAGAGGTTAGTAGTAAATATAAACTGGACAATGAGGAGTTATTGAGATCAACTTAATGTAATATTTGGATGGTAAGGTAGTATGGTAAGGTAGTATTAGGGTTGGGAATGTAACTAAAATATTAATTTGAACAATCAGTGTTGATGGTATGTTGGAGATAAAGGTGAATATTTAAGATAGGTAATAAATAAGTAAGTTGATTATTTGTGATTAGTGGTCAACATTAGTAAAATGAAGGTTATCAGTTATTGGTGATTAGGCAACATTAGTAAAATGAAAGGTTATCAGATGAGATTTAGGTTGAGAACGGAAGTGCGAATTACTAAGAGATATTATTATGAAAGTTAAGTTTTCGTGATGAATATTAAGGCGACATAAGGAATAAGCGTTGGAAAGAGAAGTTGACAGTTAAGTGGAAGGAGTGAAAATTTTCATAGGATTGAGATAGCTAAGGGATGCAGTGATTTAGGAGCTGTATAACAGATGAACTAATCTATAGTAAAGATATTATAAGGAAATTCGAATTTGCATAAATGAGAGATAAAAACAGTTATTTCGAAACGGCCTGTGATATAATAGATAGCGGAAATTGCAGATGATTTTGCCTAAAAGTTTTGAAGTAAAGCAACAAGTTTTCAAAAGTTTTGATCAACAAGGGTTTTATTAAATAACACATGTGAATTGAACGAGTTAACTCTTATGATGGTAAGTAAATATGATTGTAAGTAAATCATAATTACAATTATTTGCCTTCGTAAATTATGTTTGGCCTTCGCAGACGAATGCCTAATAAAATTTAAATTTCCAAATGAAGTTACATAATTTTGAGAAGAATCTATGATATATGATATGTATTTTTCTGTTAAACCTGATTTTATTGTCAAATTTTATTCAAGGAAGATTTTCTAAAGAGTTCAGTAGCTGTCTAAAGATAGTGATTGGAGATTTAGGTAATAAACTCAAATTCTTGTGAGTGTTAGCTAGGTGGCACAAAAAATGATGGTTGGCGAGAGAATTACAATTGGAATACTTGACCCTTTTCCTTCCTAGGTTCACATTATCTACTCTCGAGCTGTGCCCTTGGTGTTGGCTTATGGCTTTGAAATTCTTTGTGTGTTCATTCTTAATCTCTCTTACTAGATTTCAATTCGAGGATCATTCTTACTCTCTCGCTACTAGATTCAATTCGAGGGGACCGAATTGTCCTTAAGGGGGGAGATTTGAAACACCCTAGAATTTTTTATTTTCGAAAAAACTTTTGAATTTTTTTATTAATCAAAAATCGCAAATTTTTGGCCGGCTGTGGGCTGGCAATTGGGTAACAGCAGTCCGGGCAATTCAAGCCTAAAAATTTTCGATTGGGGC